ACTTCTTTTGTACGTTTTATTTTTATGATTCTTCATGCTTGCACTTTAATGAAAAATAATTAAGATGTGTTATGCACACTTGATACCTGTGCATAACACATCTTAATTATTTTTCATCTCCTTACGCACTCACTCTTCCTTTCCCCCTTGCCCCGTGTCTTGGTCCCCTTCACCTTTTGCAAGAGAGCTGGCTCCCTGTTTCCTATTATCTATCTGCTTTTGGTCTTTAATTTACTTATGTTTTGAAGTTTCTCATATAAGAGAAACCATGTAGTATTTTAGCTTGTGTGACCAATTTATTTCATTAACGATTGTGTTGTCAAGGTTTATCTATTTTCCTATAAAAGACTGAAATTTATAAATCTCTTTAAAATAACTGCAATTTACTTTTTCATTGTGTAATTTTTACATCTTTTGCTGCATATGCATCTCCCCGTGGTGGTTAAAATTTCGTGAAAAACAGGAAATGTATAATCCACATCTTACTGGTCTTTTGGTGATATCTGGTGTACACACTTGTTAATTAATTGAATATAAAATATGTAAAATTAAAGAGAAAAATCAGTGTACCAGAGAGTATTTCTCATTTTGAAGTAACACATAAATGGAACATAAACCACAACTGAAATAAAAGGTTGAGAAAATATAAAAGTCAGTTAATGAAAATATGGGGTTAGGCTAGAGGGATATAGGGAAATAAAACATAAAAATAATTTCACTTAAGAAAAAAGAGGGGATGGAGAGATAGCTCAGTGGTCTAAGCACCTGCCTGGCAAATGCAAGGAGTGGTGCTGTGGAGGCTGCGACAGGAGGATTACTAAGAGTCTGAGCTGTGTAGTGAGCCCCTGTAGCAAATAAATAATTTTTTTTTAAAAAAGAAGAAATTTAGTTTTTGAGATTTCATTCACAAAAATATACTAATTTGATTATTTATGTAGAATATGATAAAATACTAAAACTAAATTAGTTTTAATATTTTTATTGCACATGCAATAAAAAAATACTTTTATCCAGTCCCTTGTTTGTTGAAAATTTTAATCAATAATATTTACATAATATGCTGGCTTTATAGTGGGAAAAGAGATTATTCGCTTATTGTGATACTAAAATGAGTTTAACATTCTTAACCCATGTTCAGAGAATTGTTTCTGAATGATAAAAATTATGGGGTGAAAGGGGAAATAAAATGTTAATATTTCCAGTCTTAATAGAGTCTCAAGAGGATTTTATTCAATGCATGCAGTTTTGCTTTAGAATCATTGGAACATTATTTTTTATTTTATTGTTCAAGGGACGAGATGGTTCTTAGGAAATGCATCATTGTTTCGTTTAAATAAATATGTGATAGATGGTGGCTGAAACAAGCTGCTGCCCTAAACCTACTTGTTGTGGCCTATATTAAGACACACAGCAGTTTGATGACTCTTTCCTACACATGAAAAAGTTAAACTAAGTTACTTAAAATACCTGCAGGTTAAAGTCCATTCAGCAGGACTAACAGTATTATAAATGTTAAATGGAAGGAACTGATCTGTAAATGGACAGTGGAAAAGAAGTACATCTGCTTTAAAAGTGCATACAACTTTCTGCTCAAAATTGTGGAATAAGAGTGTTCATACCCTGCTGTCTAAAATCACATCACAAAAGTAAGTGAAGAAAGAACTAAAAACACTGATTACTGTGTGACAAAACTAGAAGCTAGCTAGCTCTCCAGGACTCCAAGTGGTAAGATATCTCAGAACATCTTAGACATGGCATAGAACAGGTAGTTTTCATCAAGTATTGATATGTTAAACTTTAAATCCTTACAGAGTGTGCAGGAAAAAAAGAAAATAAACAAAAAATATTTTAAAAATATTGAAATAAACAATTGCATATTTTTTGCACAGAAATTTAGAAATCTAGCTATGTAATTTATCCTATGACTTTTTTATTGTCTCTTGTTTTCATTTCCCTTTTTTATAAACAAATATTTACTTGTGAGACAGTATAGCAGTGATTGATATGACATGACAAGCAGTACATATTTAGAAGACCAGAATGACAGGCATTCCAAGCACAACCCTAGTATTTACACATTGCCCTTCAGTGCACTTGCTTAGTTCGCAGGTATCAGCATATATAGTTAGTCAAGGTGAGAATGCTAAACAGTGTGGTTAAGCTCAACTGCCTATGTTATAGGTAATAATATCATTAAGCTTCTCTTCTGGAGGTTAACAACTTCAGTTTGCAGACCAAAAATTAGAGAAAAAGAAGGGCTACACAGACAGCCAACATTTTGGCCCTAACCTTTCAAGGTCTTTGAGGACTCAGCACATAGGAGAACCTGTATTGTAACATCCTGTAACTTGGTGGTATCCCAAATTTTCTGATCAAGGAGATTATGGGGCCACAGAGGAAAGTGATCAGTGATGTAGAGTGTGCCTAAGGAGAGTCATCTGGAGAAAAAATATTCTCTCAGGCTTTCACAGAGAGCAAAGTGGTCAAGCAATGGCCGTGATTCATCCATATGGCTGACACTGACAAAGAATCTACAAACTGCGGTACCGGGTTTCAGGCTAAATCCCAAGGGGATTTGACTTACCTTGTGAGATACAAAAGTTACATTTCTTGTTATGTAGGCCTTGCTTTATCTTGGTCTTAACCATCTATCAGAAAGTATAAAAACGAGATATAAAAAGTAAAGCCATATTAATAGGCTGAGCTACAAAAGGCTCAAGTCAACAATTGCTGACATTGCCAGTCCTCTGGAGAACCCACTACTGTTGTGGACTACTGGACGATATTGGATTATTTTGCTGAATTTGCACACCTACAATAATTAAATGGCAGTGGAATTCCCATTTCTGACAAAACTAAACAAAAAAAGGGGATATAAATGAAGGACCATTTTGTATCTGTATATATAAAATAGGATAGATATACAGCTACTTTCTCTTAATTCACTGAGAAGAAGGATTTTTACCAATAGTGTTTGGACAGGATATCTTGTCTGCCTCTTGTACTATGAATAACTACTAGGAAGACAAAAGTATACAGTGTATTAATTATTGTAACTGTCCTACTAAGTTGTTTTGATACTGTCTCATTGCTAATTTTTTCTCAATAAAATCAATTAAAAAAAGTAATATTTTTAAAAAGTGATAGAACAACAAAGAGAAAACTTTAGTGCTTGGCCAAGCAGATGACATTGGAGAGGAAGCATCTTGTGTTCTGGAGAATTCCTGAAAGGCTTTTGAATTGAAATAATTACTGCAGAACAAGGACTTGGTAATGGATACCTCAAACACATCCACAATGGAAACCTAGAGTCTTAGCTTTCTGTCTCCATCCTTGCCTGCATCCAAACTCTGTGGGAGACATGAAACATTGTATGAGTGAGGCCCAGGATTGGGACTTCCAGTTAAAGGACTTCTTGAAGAGCAACAGGGAATCTCAAAGCATTGAGGAGAAGAAAGCTGAACCCATCCTGAGACAAAAACATTACTGGATACTCAGTTTATTTTTTTCTGTATTTAGTACACAGTCTACAGGGTCTCACTATGTAGATCGGACTTGCAGTTGTCCTCCTGTTTTCAGTCTCCCAAGTGCTGGGATTACAGGCATGGGCCACCACTCCCAGTCTCAATCACCATCTCAGCCCAGCCCAGCCCAGCGGTGGGGCTGGCACTGCCCAGATTGAACCCTGGTCCCTGCACACTACCTAAACAGGTGCTTTAATCTGCTGAGCTATCTGGCCAGTCCTCTGAATACTCAGTTTAGAGTCCCTACCTGATAAAAAGACAGATTAGCCGATTAGTCTATTATCTGGTTAGTCTACTATTAGATTAACTTTCAGTGTAGGTATTATTCGTGATAATTAATGCTGCATTATGTATTAATATGTGCCAAACTTTTAAATCTTATGGCTCAACAATAGAGGTGGTTTTCTCACTCAAATGAAGCTCAACAGGGTGAGCTGCTTTTTTCCTGTCTTGTAGCTATGCCTTGTGGAGCTTGTGGTCTCTGAAGTTCTCAGGACAGGATTCAAGATGAAAGAGAAAACAGGCTTTTAACAGTTTCAGTCTAAGTCCGTTGTTCAGCAGCATGCCAATGGGAGATGTCAGGGAACACAAGAAATGTCACGGAGCCACTAACTTCCCTACTACTCTACAACTATGTCTTGTTTTTGAAAGACATGTCAGTTTATTCCTGTGCAATAGCCACAGTTTTTTGTCCTATTGAACAATTAAAGCTCACTTTAAATTAAAAACAGTACCACCTATTGCTAACACCTATTACTTGATCTAGCACTGGCAGGACGAAGAATACAGGGATGCATATAATACATACGCTGGTCTCAGGACTACTCTTCTACTTAATCTCTTAATTCACATTGGCTTTGAACTAATTTCCAGATTATTACCTTGTAATGTTTACATTGGTGGGTGTAATGGTGCCAGCTAATCAAAGATTAAGTAAAATTACTGATTTTTTTAATCAACATGATCTGTTAAATTTCAGATATATCTCCTATCTTTTGAAAACTGCTCCCCATTTCTTTCTTAAATATTTAGAATGTTTTTCTTCACAACAGTAACACTTAAGAATCTCTAGTATGGCCTATATATAAGTAACTGCAAAGTTATCTATTTCTCAGTGTTACCTTCTGGTTTATTTCTGATGCTCACTGAAGCAGATTTGTAAATTAATATGAATATGAAGTGGTCTGTAGAAAGTTTCATGACATTATCACTTGAAAGCAGTTATCCAAGAAGAGTTTTTATATCTGAGCCAGTCTTGCAAATGAGTTTCATACTTTTTGAAAGGAAAAAAAAAATTTATTTAAATTGATGTATTTGTTCTTAGAAATACAATACAGTAGTTCCGTTCTTATTTGATTCCCTAAATCTATAGCTTGATTTTCTTGTACTAGTGGAGAAATCTCATTTTCAGATTTAGATTCTGAGATTATTAATGAATTCTTTATAATGTTGCTTTCTTCACATTTTGTCTTTCAGAGTACTCGAGTGGCCTTGGACCATCTGGAGTCTGTACCTGAGAAACTGAGCCTACTGGAAGATTTCAAAGACTTTCGAGTGAGCAAACGTTGGCTTGTCAGTTCAGTATTTTTCCTGAATGAGAAGACTTGACATCTTCCTGATGTGCAGAGAAAATTATAGGAAGGGAAGAAGGAACAAAAACCATTGGGAACTTTTAACATTACATTCTCTCAGAGCTTGTTGACATTGTGAAATCAGGACTAAAAACAAAACTCAAGCAGTGGCACAATATAGGAAAACAGAAACTCTTACCCTAGGACTAGAAGTTCATTGATCTCACTAAAGCTGTCACAGAAAACCTGATGATTGAAGGCAGTTACCCATTTCATTCACGATAGATAACTTTTTTGGTTAGCAAAATTTTAACTTGTAAATTTTTTTTTTCAAACCACTGTTTTGGAGGTAGAGTAGTTTACCGGTTATCTCTGTATTATGACACATCAGTTCAAACCTATGTAGAGATTTTTTTCAGCCTCCCAAGCACTGGGATTACAGGTGTGTGCCACCATGCCTAGTCTCAATCGCTGTCTCAGTGTGTCCTCGTGTGCAGGCCTGGCACGGCACACTGAAGATCGAGCCCTGGTAGCTGTGCTGTGCCTAAAGAGGTGCTTCAGTCCACTGGCCTATCAAATAAATAAATTTTAAAAAGTTTATAAAAGATCTTATAAGTCTGGGTGTGGTGGAATACTCCTGTAATCCCAGCAGTAGGAAGACAGAAATCAGGAGGATCACTATGAGACTGAGCTGCGTGTTTCTGGTATATTCTGATGCTTTCTTGTGATTTGATCATATTTTGCAGTTTAAATCCCAAAAGATTATGAAACCATCATCAAACACCATGTAGCTGCCATCACCCTTATAGAACCCAGTGTACGTAGCAGGGATTGTGGTATGTCCAGATCTTATCTCTGTTTCTGTAGTAACAGAAGTCATCCAGATAAAGGAAGGATAGGCAAGAAGCAACACTGAAGCTTGTGGCACTAGTTGCAGAGAAACAAATGTCTTTCTGTACTAGCATCAAAGATAGTTTAGCCCCTAGTTGATAGCATACTTTTCCCAAGTCATCTTCGCTCAGTTCATAAGTATAATTCAAAATTTTGTGCTTTACTATTGCTAGAAGGTTTACCATTATTTTTTTAAATTTTTTTTTTTATTATTATTATTTTTTTTAATGTGTGTGTGTGTGTGTGTGTGTGGCCAGCTCAGCCCACCAGGGGGCGGGGCTGGCTGGCATGTGGTGCTGGGGGATTGAACCG